TGTGTGTGTGTGTGTGTGTGTGTGTGTGTGCGTGTGTGTAACGAATGCACGGCCGCAATTTTCGACTGATTTGCACCAAGTTAGCGGGAAGGCCAAGACCGACTTTGCATTTCCCAACTCCCATCGATAGTAGAAATAATTGATTTTTTCTTACTTCTACGGCAGTTTTCACGTAGTTTGTGGCCATTTTCTACTGGCCAGAGTGAGAACCTATAGCTGGCTGCCACGAATAGGCAGGAAGATTCTATTGGCCAGCGTGAGAGCCAACAGCTGACTGACACGAATGTTAACTAGCATGCAAAAAAAATCGATAGCTGCATTCGTCACAAGTGGGAAAAATTTAAATCTGCATGGCACTTTACTCCAATTGGCTCATTCGCTTGCTTAAACTCAACGTTGATTCTGATTCCGAACAACTGGGTTGGGTGTGAAAAAGTATTTGTTGTTAACATTCTTTTTTCATTCGGTTTTTCCAGTTACGATTCCTTTTTTAAAGCTGATCGTTTTGTGTTCATTTTGTTTAGTTCTTTCTTCGTAACAGATTTAATGTTTAGTATAGAGCTTAGAAAAATTCGCAGTGTGAGATAGGCAAGAAGTAAGGCATGTAGCAGCATCAGCACGGAAAAGGGCACTTCTTTAAAGGCAAAGAAGGGCAAAAAGTCAAGTGATAGCGATTGCTGTATGATTTTTGAATCTAGCACGGGCAACGCCGGGCCATGCTGCTAGTTCAATATAATCGTCACATACTATTGTAGCTGGATAATGATAGTATAGTTTTCAAATATTACCCATGTAATTATCATTGATGCCAGTGCCTAGTATTCAGACAAAGGTTAAAAAAACTATACGGTTTCGATTTTCAAGTAAGGCAGGCTTTCCTACTTAGTGCAATCTTTCTAGTCTGTTTCTATCTGATCTTATCATTTATTAAACTCCCAAAAGCTAAGCAAATATTAAGAAAAAGAAAAAAAAATAGTACTGAACTGCTATGTAATATCAATCCTCCTATATGGCAGTGAATGCTAGACAATCTTTACACAGATGAATAACAGGCTTGAAGCAACAGAACAAAAGCATGTTTAAAATATCATCGAATGAATATGTGAACAACAACGAAGTTTGAGAGAAAAATAGAAACAAAAAGGACACTTATTCTTAACATCAAGAAGAAACAGTTGATATTTCTAGGCCACGTTATGAGGAAAAGAGGGCTTGGAAAATCTAATACTCAAAGAACAGATAAGGCAAGAGGGACAGAGGAAAACAGTACATAAGCTACCTAGCGAGCTTCAGTAAATTGATGTCGGAATAAGATTTATGAGAGATAAGAAAAAGACAAAGATTAGTAAGAGCTAAAGCGGAGAGGAAATTGTGGAGAGCGATGATCGCCAACGTCCTGAAGGGACATGTCACTTAGAAGAAAAAAATAAACTGATTAATCATGACGAAGTGAGATAGTTCACGTGCTAGACTCTCGATTTAGACTTTACTAATATTTTAGCCAATACAAAGCACAAGACCCATTCAAGGAAAAGAGTTATTGAGTAGGATTGTTGTATAGCCGAGAGAGGAGACGGTAAACAGTATTAACTACATTTACCGTCCTGAATATCCGAGAAATTTCGGAACCGTCATTTGGCCTGACGTACTACACTATTTAGCTCCAGAGGAAGCGTCTGGTTAGTCCAAATTACAGGTTTTAAAACAATAAATTTTCCACGATGTTTCTCGAACGATTATATCTGTTCGAAGCGTATCATAACGTAAACAAATGACAACGTATATTATGAAATGCACTAAGTCTGACGATTATTTTAATATATTTTCTATTTAAACATTATTTTTATAGATACAATTATTTAAGTAAATTCTCCGTTTATAATAAACAGTGTGAACATATATTTTCTACGAAATTTCTCGAACATTCAGGATGCTAAATGTAGTTAATACTGTTTAATATAAAAAGAGAATTTAGTTAAATAATATTTGTATCTATAAAAGTAGCGTACAGACAGAATATACATATATATCACTTGTAATTTACAACATATGTTTATGCAACAAGTTTATTGTAATTTTCATTTCAATTAATAATTATATCTTCAATTCAAGTTTTGATTTAATGTATATTTTAACGGTGATTGCATGTTATGTCATTTTTTTCTGCAGTACAACAATATTTTACATAATTTTAACAATACATGCATTTTTGTATTGGGGTGAATAAACAGCCGAGAGGAACTATCCATTTCCGAAATCCGATGTGACTAACGCAGGCTTGACAGAATAGGACTTAAGAAGACAGACTATGACGATTGATATTGCATTTAAACCTTTGAAGAACAATGCTGATTTGAAAGCCAGAATCCTGGAAAAGAATTCCACAGTTAAAGGTTCGAGACAAGAAAATGTTAACATAAAACTTTCAGTTACATCTAACATTTTTCAATTGTAAAATGATGAGACCTAACCGGCAATCTAGCACGGGATTAAATTCATAAATCTAGGTACCAAAAAACAGATACCATTTGCATAATTACAATGAAAATGTTTGTAGAAAAGGCACAGGAATGATACGTTACTGCAGTGAGAAAACTGACAGAAGCCAAGATGTCATTTCAATACCAATAACATCTTGATTATGTGGGGCGCAGTTGTAAAGAGACAAACAAAACTCTTTGTAACACCAAAGATGAACTAAAGGCAAGGATTATGGCAGTATTCACCTACTTAAAGAAGGAGACTGTCCAGAAGAGTTGCAGGAGATTCTGAAGTCGTCGTCGGTTGAAGACAATGGCGATTTTATTGAATAACTTTACTCTTTAGTATTTCAAGATATTTTTGCGTAATTTTGGTAAATATATCTGTTAAAATGAGATATCAGTGTTATTTTCATTTTGGCGTAATTTAAACGACAATTTATCCATCGCGCCTATATATATATATATATATATATATATATATATATACAGCACACACAGTCCCATTACTTCCAGACAGACCTCGTATATATATATATATATATATATATATATATATATATATATATGGAATTGATAGCGTTGAATACTCATAACTAAACTGCTGAACAATGAATTCGAAGAAAAACTAGGAATAAAAATTAATAATTTAAATACGATGGTCTCGACTATTATTGTGCAAGATCCGCCTTCAAGATTCAATTATATACAAACAGAATGCAAACAACTGACAGAATCCAAGATGCACTTTCAATACCAAAATAACATACACGGGCATTAGATTCTGAGAAATGAAGAAAAATAATCAAAATTGATAGTGTCTGGTTATTTTGATGAATAACACGTTGCTCTATTATAGTATTGACGTGTTTCACTTGTAATTTACAACATATGTTTTTATGTAACAAATTTATTATAATTTTCTTTTCAATTAATGTATCTTCAGTTCGAGTTTTGATTTAATTTATATTGTAACGAAGGTTACTTGTTATTATGTTATTTTTTCAGCATTACAATATTTTACGTAATTATAACACTATATGCATTTTTGTATTGAGGTTTGTAAATATCCATGGAAGACTCCGTTTTCAGAAACTCGATATGACTAATGCCGGGTTAGGATAGATAGCATTTGACACTAAACATGAACAAGTTAAGGTTGTAATGGTCGAGAACGCATCCTCTCAGCATCCTTTTCCATCAAGTTATCAGTACTCAGGATGAAGCTATGGAAATTTCTTTTTACCAATGGAAGGGATGGGGATGATTCGACCCTCTGAAAGTGTCCTAGATATAAACGTCTGAACTGGTGGATCTAAGGAATGTAGATTGTCTGTGAATTTGCCATTAAATAGCGATGGAGCAGAGAGAGGTTTTTGACGTTTCGTCGGTGTAGAAGGGACTGTAGGGTATGATTAGTGAGTTCGATCCTAGGTACACCGTGTATGTTTCGCGAATCTGTCTGTATTGGCGAAATTGAACTTCTTTTCTTTTTATGTGCCGTGTCCTTTCAGGAGGTAGGTGGTCATGGCCCTCCACTTCGCCCTATCCCTTGTGGCTTTCAATAAGTTTCGTCCTTCTGCCACCTCCCCCAGACCACATTCTGTCATCCGCTTGCTCAAGCCCGCCAGTTACGTCATGCGTTGGTTTCCCTTGTCCCCCTTTCCTTCTATTCGCCCTGTGAGTACCAGATTTTTCAGGCTCTCCTTTCTTATGTCGTGTAATGTCCGAACATTTCATGTCCCAAGAATTATTTTATGTTTCATGCGAGCAGTCGTAAGATAACTGTCCAGGGGCACCTGTGGCTCATGTCGTTCCTTTCCGGGCGAGCGAGAGGTTCTGGGAAATTTTATCCCCTTTACGCCAATTGTTATTTGACTAATTTACTAAGAATATCTTAGTTTTGGTATAAGGTCATCATTTTAAGACGCCAAGTGATGATCAAACTCATGAGTAAATGTCTACAAGACATGTTTCTTTATATTAAACTACGACAACGCGCTCTTTTTTATTATTTGAGAAGTTTTTATTTTTATATTCTTTGTCGAGTTTTTCTGCTTCCAGAAAGAAAATAGAAATTTATCGATATTCGAACACAGAAATAAGAACGAGGTACGAAGTGAAATGAGTAGATATGAATTCGTGAAAAACAGTTTTGTTCTTTTCTAAAATCTCATGGAAAAATGTCATCATGGATTTGATATCACGCATATCATTGAGTCAACGAGACGAATAAGATGATGCAGTATTCAGTTATTACAGACGCGTAACACAGACGCCAGTCGAACACTGAAATTAATGATAATTCATTGCCTTTTCTTATTTAGTAGTTTCCATTGGTTATTTCTACTTTAAATGATTGTAAAATCATATGCGAAGGCCGAGTTAATTGTCTAAATAAAAATGCCAGATTATGCAAGGAAAAAATATAACTAAATTAATTTATTCAGACTTTCTCAAGTGGATTTTGATAAGGCTGCGATAATAGGCATAAGGATATCGCCATCGTCTGTTTCACAGTTATTCGTTCAACGAAAGAAAGAAAGAAAGAAAGAAAGAAAGAAAGAAAGAAAGAAAGAAAGAAAGAAATGTATATGCGGAAAAGAAAGATATACAATAGAAAAGAAATAGAAAAAAAGAAAGATATGAAAATGAATAGAGAAAGAAAAGATAGAAAAAAGAAATAATGAAAGAAAAAGAAATAATAGGGAAAAAGGAAAGAGGAGAGAAAAAAGAAAGGAATGTAAATAAATTGAAAAGAAAGAATGAAATAGAGAAAAAAGAGAAATGAAAAAATGGGAAAGAATGTGTGAGAAAGAAAGAAAGAAAGAAAGAAAGAAAGAAAGAAAGAAAGAAAGAAACGGATATCTGGAAAAGAAAGATATACAAATAAATAGAAAGAAAGAAAGAAAGAAAGAAAGAAAGAAAGAAAGAAAGAAAAGTATGGAAAAGAAAGAAAAGTGAGGTAGAAAAAGAAATTAAAAAATAAAAAGAAATAAAAGGAAAGAGGGAAAGAAATAAATGGAAATAAATGGAAAAGAAATAGTGTGAGAAAAAGAAAGAAAGAAATTGATATGGGAAAAGAAAGATATACAAATAAATAGAAAAGAAATAGAAAGAAAGAAAGATATGGAAATTGGAAAGAAGGAAAAGAGGAATAGAAAAAAGAAATAAAGAAAGAAAAAGAAAGAAAATGAAAAGAAAGAAAGTGGGAAAGAAAGAAATTGAAATAAATGAAAAAGAAAGAACGAGAGAGTGAAAAAGAAAGCAATTGATAAAATAAAAAAAGAAAACGAGAGTAAAAGCAAGGAAGAAATCAAAAGAAAGAAAGAAAGAAAGAAATAAAGAAAGAAATATAAATATATAGAAAAGAAACAGTAAGAAAGATATGGAAATAAATGGAAAAGAGATATATAATTAGAGGGAGAAAAAGAAAGAAATGTAAAAAATGCTAAAGAAACTGTGAGAGAAAAAATAAAAGAAATGGAAAATCAGAAGAAACAACTCCGAAAGAAAGAAATGTGACAGTGAAAGAACAAAAAAATATAAATTTATAGTGAGAAAGACAAAAAAATTAGAATAATGAACAAGATGGATGACTATACGATTTCTTTTCTGGAAAATAATCGAAATAAAATATTTTCTCTCGGTGTTGCTTAAATTTATAATTTTTTTTAATTTTAGAATTTTTACAAGTTTTTCGAAAATTTTCGCCTTTTCTCTTTATTCAGAATGACAATTTGAAAATAAAGAACTTTTAAGTGGGATCCATTTTATACACATAACAGCCTCAGTTTGAAATCCGGTGACAATCGTCAAACGTTACCAATACATGTTCTTGATTCTTTCGTTTTTTTTTATTTAATACAAAAATCCACGTGATTAATAATTAAATAGAATGTTGTGAACTGTTTCATCCTGGCACAAAATATATTAGAGATCGACAGACAGAGTAACGGTTCTTTGTTTCTTTTACGTTCTCCACTCGCCAATATTATTGATGCCGCTATCACGTCCAAAGAGGCAAGTCAACTGCTGCAAAATGGCTTAAATAAAATCCCATCATTTTTAGTAGTAGAATTCAGAAAACATTGAACGTAGACAAGGAAAAAAACACAAATTCGATAGTTTATATATCCAATGCAATTGCAAAATGACTTAAATATTTCCAACATTTTTAACGGTATGATTAAGCTATTTACTCAATAGCATAGCACACATAAAAATGGCGGCATTATTTATATAGAGATAGATTATACAAATATCCATGTAGATAAAACGCAATATGTATCTGTGGGTGCACTCACGCGCGGGTGCATACAAACTAATAACGCTTTTTGCCCAGAGTGTACAAATGCTAAACAAATCCTAATCAGTGAGCACAGGTACTCTGCTCCTAAGCTGTTTTGACGGGTGATATATAGAAAACACTTTTAATAGATATATAATAAAACAGTTAATATATATCCCTAGCAGCTGCGTATTTCACACTGGTGCGAAACAATGAAGTTTGAACCCGAACATAAAAATTAGAATTTCAAATGCGGATTTTCAAGGAATTTTGAAGAATTGATCTATTCTGTTTCGATTGTCAGTAAATATCAATATGAACAGAATGATCGAGATAGATAGTGTTGTGGTAGGATCCACCTAATTTGCATAGTGGAGTACCGACCATATAAATATGGTTGGTACCGGGAAGAGAGGGAGGAATCAAGAGATTCAACCAGAGACTCTGCTCGAATGCGACTCAGTCAACACATTCTCCAGGAACGGTCTTACCAGGAATATACAAAAGACTATATGTAAATATTGTGTACACTTTCTTGTTTCAATACATTTTGTTCTAAGTACATTTTATGTTGTATTATTATTCCATGCATTAGTCAAGTTACAACAGATAGATAGATAGATAGATAGATAAATAGATAGATAGATAGATAGATAGATAGATAGATAGATAGATAGATAGATGGCTGCAACTCGTCAATGGCATCGCTAGATCAACCTCAAATATGGGCAGCGCGCATGGGCTTTTCGTTTGCATTCTCATTGCGCAGATGTAAACAACGTTGGGTGTCTTTTGCAGCACTTGTTACTACAAATGTTTCTTGACCTATAATTAATGAGTTCCTTGTGTGCGTGTGAGGTCTTTAGTGATATTTGAGGCATGTCGGAATTAACCAGACGCGATCAAATTCATTGTACATTAGTTCAAATTCGGTGATAGATAGATAGATAGATAGATAGATAGATAGATAGATAGATAGATAGATGACAATGAATTGAGAGATAAAAAGAGAAAAGAGATAGAAAGATACTTGCTCATAGTCCAAACTTTTCCCGTTGTTTAGCGCATGCAAGTCACTTTTAGACTATGCTTATCCCAGGTAACAGGCTGACAACCACAGAACTTGTCTCTCTGATTGGAGTAGAGTATGTGATTCTTAAATTGCTATTAATTGCCATTAACCTACAATTATTGAAAACATTTTAAACAAGGGACTTGTTAATTATATCCAGTAATTAGCTAATTAACACCTACCCACTACAAGACATAATTTAGTATTTCTCATTGATTAGGACGTAGAGAAAGTGATTTCAACATTTACAAAAATACTCCTGAACAACACAGAAAAATAATCTAGGAAAATGTAAATTAATAACGAACCTCAGGGAAATAATAATTTTGATAATATTTGGCAATTTTATTCCATTTTTTTTTATTTACTTGAATAAATTTTTGCAAGCGGAACATCCGTTTAATTGGCGCGAAAAATGTCTTTAGGGTGTATCTCCAGGCCAAGCCTAATTTTTTCTTCTTTTTTTTTAGTACATTGTTTCTATATTATTAGTCTTGGGCGAGGTTTAATAAGTTTAAACCCTCAAGCATTTATATCATAAGATATACAATAGCACTATAACAGATTCAATCTCTTAAGAGAACAATTAGGCACTGTCCTGAAAACGTCGCTGAAGGGTGTCGATTTAAACATACCTTAATTCTGATTTCTTTGCTTCTCTCAAAAGTAATTTAAGATAAGACAGATAAATTTTGAAAATGCTATCTTAGAAGTGCATGGGATTTGTTTATTCATTGTTAGTGAACAAAACCCAAAGTGAGGTGGGGTCTGTTATAAATTATTTTCTCAAGTCAGGTGCGAGCTGCCTATATTTGAGGTTGATCTAGCGATGGCATTGCTTCTCTATCTTGACAGGAACTGTTTAGTCCTCACTTGCCTTTCTGGAGAGTTCAGAAGCGTCTACACGGTCTTGTGGGTGATTAATTATTTTCCATCCTATAACTTCTTTCCCATAGACGAAACATCGCAAATTTCTCCCTACACTGTCGCTATTTCCATGGCAAATGTTTTGGCGAGCTACATTCCTTATTTCCGCCAGTCCTAACCTTTGCAGCTAGGACCCGCCTTGCCACGTACAAAGGGACGAATCACCCTCATTCTCTTCGTATACCATTAATAAGGAGGAAGTTCTACTCGGATAGTTTCTTCCTTAGATCTGTTACTTTTTTAAACAAACTCCCAATATGGTGCTTTCCCGATCACTAAAATCTTAAACACTTTAACCGCTATGTCTACCATATAACCTCAAAAAATGTACTTCTTATCTCCTCTTTTTATGCGCATACAACATGATTCAGTAGCATTCTACCTTAGGTGACTCTTGGGCCTTGTACAGAGTGAACATTAGTGTAAAAAAATCACCCTACCTTTGGCATGCCATTGATGATTATTCTTTGCAAACCTTACTGGCCTTTCGATAATCCCTTTCGATAATCCCATCTGCTCAGCTGCATGCTTTCCCTCAACACTGGAGAATAATGCCTTATTTAAATCCGGCATTAAAATAGAATCCCTATTTTTTTACAAACTAGAAACACTAAAGATCATTTTTAATATAGTTAGGTCGTAGTTCATATCCGACCAGTAATTCCCCATTTATATTAAAACCTCCACATATGGGTTAAATAGCAATCTAGACTGGACTCTCTATCCTTGGGGGAGGGGCAACCAGTCAAAGGGAAAGAAAACACAGATTTCCAAACCGTAGAGAAGGATATATGAAACTTCTCCAGTAGTTTTCCTAAGACGTTATGGCAATCCACATCAAAGAAATGAAGCTGTGGAGACACATGATTGCCAAAGAGTTGCATGTGGCTCACGAGTCGCGGTTTCGCCACCCCTGCTATCGAGGATTACATAGCTGTAATAATTTTAAAGCCAGAACACACACGATAAATAGCTATCATCAGTTGCTGTTTCCGCCTACGGCAAATTGCGATCTAAAATAACTGATTTCCCGTCATTTATTACGATCTTGAGCAAGCGCATTTATCGTCTGCCATTCATTAGTTAATAACCACAGAATTATGCTATTCCTCCACCCCTGTTTTGATTTTCTTCTACTTCTTTTTCCAAGAACCATGCCCTCAAGATACAATTTGGCGAGCCCTGCACTAGATTTTTTAATGTGTTCAAATAGTTTCAAGGATTTGCTGCAGTTGTTATCGAAGAGCTAAGCAAATTGGTTCCATTTCTAAGAGTGATTATTTTCATTTTGTCTATCAGCTTGCGATCTGTGATTATGTGCATCATACGGTTTTGAAATGTTTCGAAATGAGCTGAAGCTTTTTCAGCCCGTGTCACACAATCTAAATCATATGACGACACTACCATTTACACCTGTCTCAATAGTAAATTCGGCATTGCTGACAAAGTTAACTTCAACGTTGGTCTCGAAAAAGACCTTCAATCTGTGTTTGACTGGCGCAGGAAATGGCTTGTAAATTTTAATCCCTTCAAAATGATTTACTCACCATAGAGAAACCTCCCTGCCTCCTAGCAGCATGGCTGATGCTCAACTTCACGAGAGCGTCTCTCTGCACCTTCTTGGTCTCACGTTTTTCACTGACCTGACGTGGATCAACTACATTGAATCAATAGCTTCATCTACCGCAAGGAAAGTTGGTTCTCTGTGTCGCGCCGGAAAGTTTTTCTCGTCCAAGTCCATCCTTCACATCCACAAATCTACCATTCGTATTTGCATTGAATACTGTTGCCATATATAGTCTGGTGGCCCCGCTGTTCATATAAAATCCAAAGACGGATATGCAATGTGATCGGTCCTGGCCTGGCATCTCGACTCTAGTCACTTTCTTACAGGCGTGATATGGCTTCCCTCTGCCCTTTCTACAAATATTTTCATGGCAACTGTTCTGACGATCTATTTTCACTGGTGCCCCGACTGCATTAATTTTAGTGTGCTACTAGGTTGGCATCTCGGACCCACCTTTTTACTGTCGAAACAGTTATATGTAATCGCCTCTTCTACTCCAACAACTTATTCTCTCCCACTTCCCGACAGTGGAACTCCCTTCCTCTTACTTCCCTGATAACTATAATCTTCATAAATTTAAATGTAATGTCAATCGAATTTTTCTGATGCCTTGATCTTGATTCCAGTCTTTCTATTTAACCTTTCCTCAAACAACTAGAAATGTGTCGATAAAATACATCTTTGTTTTAGTGTAGGATTCGTTTTAGCGTAGATTGCTTCTTTTATTGATTTCAGTTTAGCTTTAAGCATTCTAATAGCAATCCGCTCGGAGTTTTATTACAATTTCGTGGTCGGTTTTGCAAAATAGCTTGTAACCAAAATACATAACACCAGTCGATCATCTTTTTGAACTATTTAAATGCCAAATTGTTATTGTGCTTTCTGATGTTGATGAAACATCCTTTGGGTTTATTTCAAAGCCTGTTTCATCAGGAGGCACGATGGAGTAATGAATAGCGATTCGAATTGACGAATCGGAGAGCCGAGTTCGAATACCTGTCGAGTTTATTACATTCACTTATGTTCACTGTCTTGTGCGATAATACATTAATTACAAAGCGTAAGATCTGACTTACATTAATAAAGCTACTCTTTAGTAATTTCTCGCTAAGACTTGGTAATCCTCACATGTCTTTCCAGCGAGTTCAAACTTGTCTACGCGGCCTTGTGGACGATTGACTACATTGGGAAATCTGTCTCTTTCCCCCAGCTATGGGTAAATAGTAGTTTAGATTATGCCTTTCAGCTTTGGCTGGAAACCAGTCTAGGGTTAATCGTTATCTCTACCATATAACCTCATAAATTGCATTATTTTTACCACTTTTTCTTACGCTCATACATCATTCAAATCGATATTGTTATTTTTACGTCCCAGGAGTTTGATATTTTTTTTTGTTGCGGAGAAAGAAAACTCTGAATTCAAACCAGTCTGGGGAGAGTTGGGCTGTCTTGCCCAGGAAACACTCCTGTTACTATGGATACAGTAGATGTGGTACCCCTCTGACCCTCAGAGGTTACGGGATTCGTGATCGTGTAATTTCTTTTGCGTTATGGGAAAGACAGCTCAAAAATATATGAAGCTTCTTTAGATTGCCATTTGTCAAGGCTATATAACCTCTATATGATGCATTTGCTAAAGTAAATAACTAACCTTCCAATTTACTTGGTAGTCCTCACTAGCCTTTCCAGTGAGTGCAAAAGCGTCTACGCGGTCTTGTGAATGATGAATTATGTTCTACTCTACAACTTGATCTAGCCACTATCATTCTCCCCATCCTTTCGTCTATCATTCCTACCTGCTCTCGCTCCAAATCCTGTATAACCCCTTGCGTACTAGTGGCTTCTCGCCTTGCTAGGGGTGAAATGCTTAAAAAAAATTTTTTTTTTAAATCTACTTTCCCGAAAGTCGAAAATGTATTCTTGCAATGTTGCTATTTCCATGGCAAATGTTCTAGCGAACTACATTCCTTTTTCCGAAATTCCACTCGGATAGTTTCTTCCTTAAAAATGCTGATTTTTTTTTTTTTTTTTTTTTTTGGTGGGGGTGGGAGAAACACCCAATAGAGTGCTTTCCAGATCACTACAATCTTAACTTCTTCAAATCTAGGGTTAATCGTTATCTCTATCATATAACCTCATAAACTGCACTATTTGCCACCTCTTCTTAAGCTCATACGTTATTAAATTAGATATTGTTATATTTACGCTCCAGGAGTTTGATATTTTTTCTATTATCACTTAACTTTTTTTTTTTTTGCCAGTTTCCAGAGCAGAATAATTTAGTTATTACCTTGTGATAATCTCTGACGTTGTAATTTTAAATTCGTTTTCATTGATAAAATTCTACATGTAAAAGGACACTTTTATTTTGTGTCTATCTTTGTTACTGTCGAAGTTAAATTTAAAACGTACAATCTGTTAAATTGGACCTTAACAATGTAAATTCAGTAAGAGCAGGACACT